CAGAGTGAGTTTGAGGAAAATCCAAACTCACACCTCAGTGCCAGTGATTTCCAGAATGACAAAAGGTGCCAGTACCCGAATTCAGTGTTTTTTAAAATCCTTTTTAAAGTCTAAGTGAAATGAAAAATGTCACTTTAAGCCTTTAAGATCACATCCTCAGTTATATTTTACACATATTTAATAATGTATTCCAAACATAATCATAAAAACTTGATTTATTTGTATTTTTTTATATCATAATCTAATAATTTTTTACCCTGTAAAACTAAATGTGGCATGGATCAGCCAGTTCCTTTGCTTTATGTATACTTTAGTCCAGGGGGGAAAAGCTCCCGAATGGAGTTTGAGTTTGATGTTATTTTTTATCCGACTAAAGAAAAGACTCTTCCCAGTTTTAAAAGTTGTAATCTTTTATCAAAACTGATGCATTCGTGCACAGAGAAGTGGAAGAGAATCCAACGCATATCTCTCTTCTGATCTCCTACATGACAGCTGTGATGTGAGATATTAGTTTTTAACTAATAATCAAACATTTTAAACGTGGGTTTACTTAAAACTACTATTTTATTATCTATTTACTGTAGACATTTTAATTTAATTCTAAATAATTCAGTGTTAATGAGATTTGTCTTCATGAACCTTTGATGAGGCTGAAAGGTCAATAAAGTTTTATAACGGCAACAAAGACTAACCTATTTTTCTTCCATCCCTTCATCTCTCGACCCTTTCCCCAATCCATTCATCCCTCCTACAGTAATAATAATAATACATTTTATTTATAAGCGCTTTTCTAAATACTCAAAGACACTTTACGTAAAAACATAAAAGCAGCAAAACAACATCAAATAGTAAAACACTAAAAACACATCAGACTAAGCTAAACATTAAAAGCTATTTTAAAAAGGTGAGTTTTTGTCCGAGATTTGAACGTTGGAAAGTCGGTACAGTCACGGATGTGTTTGGGGAGCGAGTTCCAGAGGGAGGGGGCAGCAACGGAGAAGGCTCTGTCGCCCCAGGTTGGGTGCTTGGTCCTGGGTGGTGGAGTCAGGAGGTTGACATGGGATGAGCGGAGGCTACGGGATGGATTGTGGCGATGGAGCAGGTCAGTGAGGTAGGAAGGGGCCTGGTTATGGAGGGCTTTGAGTGTGAGGAGGAGGATTTTGAACTGAATATGTTGTGGGACCGGGAGCCAGTGGAGGTTCTGGAGGACAGGGGTAATGTGGTCGCGGGTGTGGGTGTGGGTGATGTACTCGAGTACACCACATAGGGTCATACTTATCTATCATTGTGCAATAAACCTTTCTAATTCCATACGTTCTTCGGCTTGGTATCACCAGATTTACCTTTAAACCAACATGTTGGACCCACTCTGACAAACGACACTGAAGACAAACAACACTTGTTTTTGGTAAAGTTTTACCACGAAGTGAACTTTTTGGAGAGTTTGTAGAATTTCAGCAGAAATTCAGAAGAAGATCATTTAAGTTCAGGCCTCCGCACAGAGACAAACTTCCACCTGTGCAACCTCTTCCTGTGTTTGTGTCTGAGTAGGGGATACCCACCTGACACCTAAACATCAACACCAAACATCTACCTGCCAGCTTCCTGTCAGTCTTCCTGTTTCCTGCTTTTCTTTGTCTCATTTTATATTCAGTTTCCCTTTCAAACCGAGCCACATGCAGCCAACATGGATGATTAAAGAAAGAAAAATAATTTATTTTGCACAAAATAATCTTTAATTGTTTGCTTTTTATTGGAAAACTCTCAACGCCTTTATACACTACTGCTCTCTGACTAGCTACAGGATATTATTATGAAAATGAATTAAAAATAGACAAAAACAGTAGTTTTAACAGTGATATTGTCCTAGACACTGTAAAACCTGATGAATTAGTTCAACTCCAACAGTTTAAGCATGAAAAATTATCGGATTTAAGTTTGTGCAACTCATTTATTGTTGAGGTAAATCAGGTTAATTGTGCTTAAAACTAACTTTAAGCACAATTAATAAATGTTACCACTTAAATGTATTTATTTATTGAGCAAATTATTACTTTAACTGATCATAAACAGCTAATTGATTATTCAAATTGATTTAAAAGTAAATTTTTGTGATGATTTAAGGTCACTACACACATTCATTATGGGAGAGTGATGCTTCTTTCTTATTGTTTAAAATGAACTTTAAATGCTGAATATAAAATATTAATCTGAAGTGTTGAATGCGAAGGTCCCGGTCAGATCGCATTAAGCTCCTTGCTATTTACAATAAAACACTTACTCTGAAGGCCAGACTCTCTTGTGGTTTCACTTTCTTTTCTTGTTTCCTTTGATGCAGCTTGCAGGTATTTTCACACCTCCTGTACACTGCGCTGATATTAACAGTATCACAGCCGCCCCGGGAGTTCATTTCAATTTGTTTCCAGACAATTATGTCACTCTGTGCTTATGGGTGTGTGTAGCTGACAAGAAAAAGCCTCATATGTTGTCCGTTTCCTCTAAGTTCAATGAGGCATTACACTGTAGAAACACCTCACACCTCGACGGGGAATCTTGCACGAGCTGGCAGAATTAAAGGACGCCCTCTGTTACTCTCAACGTGAACGTAAAGAAGATAGACACAGTTGCATGAATTATAACGTCAGATCAATTACATCATATTAAATGCATAACATTTATGGGGCTGTTTGCATTCATTTGAATAGATGGGATAATTTACAGCTGTTTTAACAACAAAAACACACATTTTATAGCTTTTTAGTGAATGAAAAATAAGGTAAAACACTTTTCCTGACATAAACACCAGCGTGTGCTTGTAAATCTCCGTAAATTTATAAGATTGAACATTTTTATGAATGAATGGTTTCAATATGCCAGATTTTAGGAGGTGCTGCAGCCTCCTCAGCAACTCCAGCAACCAGGCCACTATAGAAAATGTATGTCATTTTTACCATCAGTCCAACAAGTCTTTTCCAACACGTGGGTTACTGGTTAAATAGGTAGCCATACATACCGATCCCGATCCCCGTTCTATATGGATTTCTGTTTTATTTTGAAGGAGGAAGTTACTGCAGAAAGCCGACTAGAATCAGAAACAGTAAATGTCCTGTAACATGAAAACTTGGAGCTGAAAGAGGCTTTAAAAGCTCCAGAAAGCTGCAGAGTGGCTGAACATTATCTGCAGGTTCGACACTACAGAAAATTATCTTTTTTATTGTTGATATTTCACACAGATGTTTGATCCATCGTTCAAATAAAAATACCGGAAAGTGCAGCTTTGATTATGAAAAGTGTTCCAGTAGAACCTCCCAGGCCCATTACAGTTATCTGACAGCTTTAGTTACTTTACAAATTAACATTTTTAATTAAAAAACATATGAAGAGTTTATAAAATATGATCTGTTGTACATTTTAGTACAAATTGACAGAACATTTTATGGTTTCAGCTTCTCAAATGTGAAGATTTGCTGCTTTATCTGTGAATAATTTTAATAATTTTAATGTATTTGTAATAATTTTGAGGTTCGGACTGTTGGTTGGACATTCAATCAATGGATTAATGGAAAAGATAATTAGTTGCAGTCTGATACAAAATTAGCTCCACCTCAACCAACTACATGCAGGAGTCAGATTAATCTAATAATATTCTATTTAATAGTACAGTTTAACACTTTAACTACATTTTATTGATTATACTTTTACTGAAGTAACATTTTCAGTGTAATGGAGCATTTTTTTAACAGTCTGGTATTTAGATCAGGTTTTATAACAGTTTCCATTATGTTCATTCTGGCTTTGGTGATTAACAAATGAACTATTTCCTCTTGTATAAACTGCAGGAACCAGTGGGCTGATGGTGTTTCAGTGGTCTCTAATGGCCTCAATAGTTCTTTAATCCTCTTGTGCCTACAACTGACATTCAGAATTTCCTTTAATGGAAGTGTTGTCCGATCTTACAGAAGCACAAATCTGAGGACATTTTGGAAATCGTGAGTTATTCCTATCACACTATATTTGGCACATTTGACTTAAATGGTACAAAAAGACCCTCAAATACGCCGAATAAAGGAATGGAGGGATTGTTATTATTTACATGCAACAGGCTCCTATCAATATATTCCATATATATCATATTTTATTAGTCCGACAGCGAGGGAAACCTTCCCTTCAATGGGCCATTCTCATAAAATGTGTCTGTTTGCTTCTATTAAACCTCAGATTTACCTTTTTTTTAGATTAACTCCTAACTCTCAAATACCTGTAAATACCTCACACACACAGAAAGTAAGTTGCCACCAAATTTCTTTAGGCTTTAGACCAATCAGACCTAATTTTCCTCATCATACATATATAGTAATAGTGTGCTTCAGTGTTGTTGGGCCATCAGAAGGTTCAGTCAGTTTGTTTCTAGCAGAAAGAAAGAAACATATATAATTATGTTCTGTGGAGTAAAAAAGCTCTTTAAATATGTAAGATATGTAGTCATTTTTTATAATACGAGCTCGTTTGCACAGGAAGTCAATCAATTAAGGCCATTTGGCACCATTATTCATTAGTTAATCCGTCGGTGTTTGCCATTAGGGTTTTGGTATTCCGAGGGAAGAATTTTGGGCTCCCCTGAACCTTTTGGAGCGTCATATCGTTCATTCTCGTAATGGTTTCCGTTACGTTTCTGCTGGATCAAATGCTTTCCGACGCAGGCTGCAGCCTTCCAGTGACTTCCTACTGGAACCACCATTGAGCTGCATGCAACAGGGGCCTCGCCCAGCGCCCTCTCCCAGGATGGACCAGTAAACCCGTTTGGCAACGTGAAACCCATTTGGGTGACGTGCATTTCTGCAGCAAAGAGACAATTTTTTGCATGAGTGGGAGACCCCTCACCCACTTCTATGAAGTTTGGTGATTTAAAGGAAACAGCACAACCACATTTTTCACACCTAGATCATCGCTTCATCTCTCTTTCTCTCTCTCTCTCTCTCTCTCTCTCTCTCTCCTGTGTGTGTCTACGTCTCTCTCTCTCTCACGACTTATGAATAAAAAGCTCAAACAGTTTGAGCCAACTTCATCAACGGCAGACAGTCAGTCAGTCATCAACTGTCAGACAGTCAGTCAGTCAGACGGTCTTTTTTATCCTAGTTTTCGGCCTGTCTCTGTCCAACCGCTCAGCCGCTCGCTCTCTCACAGGACCAGAACCCAGGCAGGTCACACCGGAGCACCAGGGAATCGAACCAACTACAGCTTAAACTACTATAAGTGGTGATATAACAATGGTTGCCATGGCGAGGGCAGTGGTCTGTCTGTTTCTCTGGCTGTCTGTGTGTCAGGTCAGGAGCTCGCACATCAATGTGGAGATGAACAGGACCATCCAGAACCTCCTGCAGCACTATGTGAGTAGCCTCAGTATCGGTACTTTGTAGTGCAGTACTTCAAATACCGGTACAAGCTTTTTCTGTTTCCTCCTGTCTCTTTCACACACTTACGCTCTCACCACAAACACACACACATGCACACACACACACACACACACACACACACACACACACACACACACACACACACACACACACACACACAGAGTTGTGTTTCATGTTGCATTCACTGTAAGTGTGTTTAAAGGAGTATTTTGATGTTGGTTTTTTTGTCATGTTTTAGTCAATTAACTACAAATTTTATCAGTTAGACTTAACTTTGTGTAACTTATATCACACTCATCATACAGTAATGCAGGTTTTTGACCAGGGTTCATTCAAGGACACTCAGACTACTAAGAGACAGATGCAGAAAGCAACCTGCAGTTACTTGAAAGCAAGATTGTATAAGTCTAAAGATCTGTGATATCTCAGATGTCAGAGAGTCTTTGAATGCACCAATAAGAACAATTATCTCTGTTACAACCTCTTTGATTATTGTGTCTGTTTATAAACCAACAATAATCAGAGTGTCCTTGAATGCACCACAAATTAGCTTTCACAGCAGCCTCGGAGCGCATTAATGATGTTATTTAGTTTATGATGATATATTACTGATCTGGTGTTGTAAAGGTGGAAAGACGTGTTCTGAAAATGTTTTTGTCTTTTTTTGTTTTTGCAGAAGATTAGAAACGTCGAGAGATTTGATGGGAAACCCGTCTTCTCCAGGAACGCACTGGCTGGCAAAATGGAGGTAAATAATAAACACAACAAGCAACTATCTTTCTCCAGGACGACCGAGTACGGGAGTCAGGAAGCGCTTAGCTTACCATAAAGACTGGATGCAAGTGGAAGCAGCTAGCCTTGTTCTATCTTAAGAAGAAATCCGCCTACCAACGGCTTTACAGGCGATTCATTAACACAGATTTGTACAGAAACAGAACTATTTGTGACTTCACAGGGAACCAATAACGATGTATCCATCCGCCCATCTCCGGCCAATGGCACCAAACCGGGCGCACTTCCTTAAATTGGAAGTCCGATTATGTTCAGTTCTTTAGGAGTTTCAGCTCGGAAGCCGGCAGTTTTTTGGGAGTGGAGAAACGTTCGTCCCCACGCATTTAGGTCAAGATGGAGTGTAGATGTGCAACCAGAGAGTAATATATCGTTCACATGGTACATGAAAAGGTTTAAAGGTCTTAAACCGGAATATTAGACTCCATATAAACATAAAATCGATAAGAAATACTCTGTTAATTAGTGAGTTTTAAAGGTGTATTTTAACTTTGGAGAGAGCCGAGCTAGCTGTTTCCCCCTGTTGCCAGTCTTTATGCTAAGCTAGGCTAATTCCCTCCTGACTCCAGCTCCATGCATAATGCAATGGTATCGATATTCTCTCTCACGAAGAAGATTATTTCCCCCAGTATGATGAGATAAGGGCAAAAAGCATGAAGGTGCATTAAGGTGATTTTCAGGGTGTTTTAATGTCGTTTAAAGAGCTTCAGAGTGCAGTAAGTTGCACAGTAATGGAGGGAGTAGTGTGCATTAGATACAGTGGACTGCTCTCCATGTTCTCCTGTTGATCTTCAGCTAACCACTGAGTCAGCAGCAGGCTGGTGTTTTCCTCCGGTTTCTGTCTGACACTGTGAACAGTTTCTTTATCGTGCTGGAGTTTGTGTTGAGGTTTGTGCGGTTTGTTTTTCCTGCTGGCTCTGCATTGTGCAACCATTGTGCAACTATTCTCAGGCTCTAAATTAAACTTTCACTCTTCACCAACAATCATGCGAAGACCTTTAATGGTTGGTTTTCGAGTACCGAGCACCGACACAGACACTGAACACCAGCCCGAAGAATCTTCTCTGATACAGGTTGCAGGTGGTTGTTTGCTGTTTATTGTGAAGTCTTGTGCGGTTAACAAGATGTTGTCTAGGTGAGATAAGATCAAGCTTTAAACAAACTAGCTTGAGCTGAGTAGCTGTGCTGAGTGGGACTGATCGGTTTCAGGTTTGAAGATATTAAGTTTGTGTGAGTACATGTTGTGTAATAGGAAAAGCAAAATATAAAGTAAAATCCTCTTTGGTATACGGTGGAGTGTCGGCTGTGTTTTGGCACCGAAGAAACCAACAAGATTCTGACTTTTTAGCCAGTTTGCAGCACTTGGATCCACTTTTGGTCCATTATTTGAACCTGTATCAGGGCGGCCTTGAATCCGACATATAGGAAACATTTTACCAACGAGAAATGTCAGATTTTAATGTCAGGATGAATGTTGATCATGTTTAGGCGTTCATGGTGGCACACAGGGAACACGTTGTTGAACAGAAAGTAGTTTGTTAGCATAGACCTAAAGGCCACACACCCCTCTGGGTTTTCCCAGTTTGTTTCTTTCCTCACCACGACAACACAGGTGTTACAAGTCATCATCTTTGAATTTGTTCCAGTCTAGCGTCCCCGTGTGACTCATCTGAGGTGAAACAGCTCGGCAACAATTAACCTGTTGTGTGACAATTGATGTCTACAATAGACTCTCCTGGCCTCTGACCTCTTTGCGTTCTTGTATCCAAATGAGTTTCAGTGTTTAATGTTGGACTATGACATTCATGTTTCACAATCAAACAGTGGCATTCCCCTTTTAGGCCTACTCTACTCTTAATTTAACTCCTGTGTGGGCAAACCACAGAGTTTTTTTTCCACCATGTAAGAAGGTTTTTTAACTTTTTTCCAGGGAGGTGCAAATTCGTCAAACCAGTACAAATTTCTGCTTTAATTTTAGAATTTATTCCTCTAAAAATATACTTATAGTGACTTGAAACTTGCTATATCTTTGCTGCCAACAAAGACATTCAGAATGTACCTAAATCAGTATTATGTGTATCAGTGTTATATATCAGTGAACCAGAGATAAAACATAGTATTTGTGTGTTTCTCTCTCAGATGAAGAAGCTGTTTATGGGCGCCGTTTTGGAGACGTACGAAAAGCTGATCGACAAGATGCTGAAACAGCTGCCCACGCCGAGTCCCCAGACCACCGGCAGCAACGATGGTCCCGCCTCCTCCGTCACCGCCGCTGATGCGAGTGGAGATGTCAGGACAGGGCTAAAATACATCCTGAATAAGATCAAGATGCTGAGGCAACACCGCTACCGTGAGCAGGGGGTGCTTCTGCAGGAACTGCAGACTCTCCAACACATCCAGGTAGAGAGACACAGACTCATCGTGAATTTGGATCTGACTGTCGGCCTTTTGATCTGGGTAGAAGTGATACTGTTTGAGGCTTATGGAGGGTTTTATGTTGGGCTTAAGGCCCTTTCAGACGGGTCGACAAAGGTTGACCAAAGTGTATTAAGGGCCTTTGGAGTAATAAAGCGTATTGGTGGTTTATAAAGTGTTTATTTAGGGCTAAACGTTGGCCTTAAAATTGCTTGGTGTGGGGCTTCAAGTAAGGTGTTTGGAAAGGTTGTGGAGGGCCTAGGGAACGCTCATGTAGGCCGGAAAATAGGGCTATGAGAAGGTTTATGAGGGGTTTATGTAGGACTTTTGTAGGACTAAATGCAGCATTATGTAGGGTTTCCAGTAGGGCTGCTGGAAAGGTTTTGGAGGGTTATGTTGGACTTGAGGTAGGACTTTTTGAAGGTTTATGGAATAAAGCTTTAAGAAGCCCTAATAAAAAGGTTTATGTAGGACTTTTAGGGTGCCGGTGTAGGGTAGTATGGCTAGCTACAGCTTATGCAGGGTTTAAAGCCTTTTTGCCCACCTGATTTTGTTAATCTTTTTTCGATACTTCCTGCGCTGTTTCACGAAGGTTATAGGAGTTTATGTACAATTAAGTAGGTATAGAAATAGTAAGTCATATAAAATGCTGCTCTATAAACCCTCCATAAGCTCTATTTGGAGGGTTTACGAAGGGTTTTATGTGTTATGCTGTAATGTAACGTCTCTTCCCCTCCTCTAGATGGATAAACACGTCGTCCAGAGCAAAGCACTGTGGGAGCTGCCGTGGCTGTACGAGGAGGCAAGCTCGCTGTCTGACGAGATGCAGAGGAGGCGGCGGCGGCGGCGGCAGACACGGCGGCTCAAATCTCAACTGAGCGGCTAAAACATAAACAGGCACAACGACAGCAACAAAACTAAAATGCAAAAAAAGCAAATTTAAGTGAAATGTATTTAAATTTAGTATGTGTTAAAGAAATTATTTCATAGATTATTTATTGTTACTTAACGACCAGCAGCCTAAGCCTAGTACAAATGGTGATTTTGTAAAATTTGTGTAATATTTTTAAGGAAGTTTGGTGTTATGATACTTGAATACAGCACAGCGGTTTGATCCTGTCAAATGTTTGTCGCTGCAGGATGCAGAGAGCTGATAACTAACAGTATTCAACATGGAGTTTTACTCACTTCATCCATCAGTATCACCTGGAAATACTTGATTTATTTATCATTTACCTATTTAAAAGCTGCACATGACAGACAGTTGCTAATTTAATGACTTTTATGGTCAATTTGATTGAAAGTATTTTATTTTAGCGCATTTCTCAAAAATAAGAAAATAATAAAGGAGGAAAACTCCTAAAAGGTATAATTCAGAATATTTTTGAAGTGAAACTCTCGATTGGACAATGGTGGAGAGGTGGGCAGTGCCAGATTGACAGGAGAGCCCTGATTGGTTGACAAATCACCTGTGATATTTACAATATTTCACCCTTTTTTAAAAACATGTAAAAGCTGTTTATTGCATAGGAAATTACTGTTTTCACATGAGAAACCACATTTACAAAACAAGAAATTTAGACTTTGAGTTGCAGAACGTTTGTAAACTGTTAGGTTTTTTATTCAGTGGTAGCAACAGGACTGCCTCTCCACCAACATCTCCATTGCACTGATTAAAAGAATAAATAATAATGATGATGTTTACAGTACAAAATACACCATAGTTTAATGCTGACGTACTTAAATTAATGTGTAGTAGAAGTACGATACTCAGGGATTTTTTGTATTTTCCTAACATGTTTTAATTTGCTATGTATTTATTTTGTATTTAAGGTGTGTATTTAATAGTGAATTGTACTGCTGTTGATTATTTATTGTGTATTTATTGATTGGCTGAATAAAACAGAATGAACATTAATTTTCTGATTCTTACTGGGGGTTTTTTTGGATGATATGCACAAAGTTTGGCTCCAAGACTTTGGAGAAGATAATCGCACCAAGATAATGTTTAAGCTTTGTCTGTATTTAGCTGAAGGCAAAACAATCTCACCTCAAGGGTTCTACCAAAGGAACCACAAGATCATATCACATGATCTTCAACTGCAGTTTGTGGTGAAATTTGTAGACATTGAAATCAAATTTTTGCTGAGCTCACAAGAGTTCCATAAAACTACATGGACCTTGAGATTTCACAGGCTTGTTTTTGTTTGTTTTTTAGGGATTGTTGTTGCCTAAAATGGCTGATTTCACTGCAGCTTTTCTAAAACATTTTGATTTTTTTGCATGAAAATTGCAGGAGAAACAGATTATTTATTCAAAATCAAAGGCAACTTGTGTCCCATTGAGAATTAAATCTGAAGTATTCATGGCTCAATGTTTTGCTACGATTGGTGAAACTAATGGAAACTACAGTGATTGCAAGCTTGCAACAGAATTCACAGTGATTGGTTGAATGCTGTGTTAATTGTTGAGGTTGCAACTTTGCAACCACCTGGAGGGACTGATTTCTTTTTAGATTCACAGAACTGTTGTCACCTGACAACTTACTGCAAAATAAAAGAGGCTCAGTGATGGAGCCTTGGGGAACTCCACAAGTTGTTTTCAACTGCTTGGATGCAGAGCTGCAAAGTCAGCTCCTTTGACAAAAGAACAATTGTAACATAAGATCCACTTGCAGTACAAACAACTATTTCCAAGGTCAATAATGAACCTCTGTGTGTCTGTGTACTTTATCTACAGTGAACTTACGTCGTACTCTTCATTTACGCCCAAATTATTTTAGGCTGCAGTCCAGCAAAGAATAAACATCCTGTGTTATAAACAGTGACATGTTAAGACTACTTTTCCATATTTAGCTCACCCAAAAATTGGCCTGTAGTGTAGTGGCCTGTACATTGTCAGTTAACCTCTGATGTCAGGTACTAATGAACATATGAAACTAACTTTAGCCACAGAAAGAGAGGAAGACTTTGCATGAATACTGACTCACAGACGGGTGAAAAAACTACCTGATTGTGCATTTTCAGTGACGTATTCCTGATTCCTTAATCCATCCAACTATGCTATGCCATGCCTTCCCCATCCTAGGAAGAAAAAATAATCTGCCTGCACACCACTCCCCTACATCAAAGGGGATTCAGAAGTTGGTAAACCAAATGCAGACTGCCCCTCCAAGTGGTCACAAGATAAATCTGAAGGGTTGTGAGATGATAGTGGAGAAAATGATGTCAGACTCTCAGTGTCCGCACCGGAAACACTGATAGTCACTAGAAGCTGGATAGTCACTAGAAGCTGGATAGTCACTAGAAGCACATTCATGCTGTTTGTAAACGTTTCTGTGTGCTGCCTGTTTGTAGCTAAGCTAATGTAGCTAAGCTTATGGGTGTGTCAGGTGGTATGTGTGTGTGTCTGTGGGATGAAGGTTGCAGTCAGGTGGTGTTCTGCAGCCGTCTGAAGCACAAAGTCCATACCACTGCGCCAAAATACAAAAAGAAGAGGGTTAGCAACAACTCGCATAAACTCCGGTGAATGATATATACATTTGGATTTTCACAGACTCCCACTCAGAGCGGATTTATATAAATGTGATGACTAAAGTCGTCCCAACAGTCGACTCTATCTCAGCATTCATCTTACGACGTTCAGGCTGATTTAAAACGACAGATGACGTGTTTGTTGAGACATTTTCCACCAATGAAATACTGATTTTCATATATTTGGTGAGAATGTTAATATTGTACAGTCATATCATTTAGTTTACAGCTTAAAACACATCTTTAAGTGTGCACTACCTCTTTAAGTAAAGCACTTGAGTTACTGAGTAACTTCCACAGTCACAAAATGACAAATAAATTGATTTATTATATGATCCTCTGCATGCACACAGGCGGGTCGGGTATTTTCTGCAACTGCACAAACTCAGACCCCCGCCCTCCCCTCCAACCCACAGCAGTGATGTCACTTCCGGGTGACATCACTTCTGGTAAATGGCAGGTAGTCGTCTTTTACTGTAACTGCAGCCCTTACCCACAATGCAACCCTGTATGTGAGGCTGTGACTTCTAAGAACTCAAGCTGTGCTTCCCCCACAAGCAGTTGGAGAGCAGAGCTGTGTGTTTGTGTGGTCAATAAACAGCCTTTAGAGGGACTCTAACAACCGAACAAAACAAAACATATATTAGTTTCATTTTAAGAAAACAAGTATTTAGTGTCTTTATTTGTGACAGGGTGGAGTCCCATTTTTCAAGCGTTATTTGGGGCAGCAGGATAGTGAATGCAAGACTGAGTAAAATAAACCGTGTGTTTGTTTGTGGTAATGAAGGAATATGTCATCCAGTGCAACTGTGGCTCATTTGATGTGTTCTTAAACAACAATGCTGCTCTACAGCACAGAGGAATCAGATATATCAGCTTTAGAGACACACAATACTCGTTAGTAAGGATCCTTTCATGTGTTTTGCTCAGAAAAAGTTGTAATAATAAACTTTTATCCTTTAAAAACTGCTCTAACTACAGCCACATTTTACTCCTCCAAATATCTTAAAGCTGCAAAAAAGAAACAATCACATGATAGATCAATAGCAGACTGCAGGTGGTGAGTAAGAACTCAGATGAGCAGGTACTGGTTCTCCGTCTGGTCTGTAAGCACATGTTTCTGCTGTCGTCTGGGGGTCGAGCGGGGGCTTGGCGGGGGTGGACTGCTGCAGTGGTAAAGGGCACTTCAGCAGGACAGCGATGGAAATCAAGCAGACACACAGAGAGAGACACTGGGAGTCAACTTTTACCCCCACTTCTTGTTTCTGTGGTCTGAGTGTGTGTGGGTTTCAGTGTGAGTCAGCAGGTTGCTACTGCAGAAGGAAAGGAAACAAGGTTTTTTTGCATGTCTATAAATGACAGATAACGCTCGGTGCCGACTGCTCAGTACCGACGCCACTGCAGACAGGCTGCAGAGAGGCATCGTGGACACATCGCCAAACGTTCACGTAGCTTCAGATCAGTTGAGTTTTATGATGTGATTAATGCTTACAGTTTGTGTTGAAAAGGAAACGGATGTTCAGTCTGCAGCCAGCAGCTCTGTGAGACTTTGGCACAGTGGTGGCTTTGAGCTAAATGCTAACGCCAGCAACATGCTGCTGTTTAGCAGGTAAATTGTTTACCATGTTCACGATCTTAGTTTAGCATTGTAAGCATGCAGCTGTGGGGGGAGAGCGGGTCGTCCATTAATCGGAAGGTTGTTGGTTCGATTCCCAGCTCCTCTCGCTGCGTGTCAAAGTATAACGTACTTACAAGATACTAAACCCCAAAATGCTGTGAATCAGTGTGTGAATGTGAATGAATGAGCTGGTTTCTGTTCGATGGGCTTTGCACAGCCATCGCTGGGTGAATGTGTGTGAAAGGGTGAATGTGGCATGTAGAGTAAAGGTGCTTTGAGTGGTCCATTCTGCACACACTGCAGCTGAGGCTGATGGGATTAGAGTTTCAGGTATAAACTGAAGTATTGGACACATTATAATGTTGACCTGATGATGGCGCCAGATGGAAAGTCACAGAAGTTATTAAAATTCATCCTGAGGGGAACTTCAATGTGTGTAGAAAACTTTTGGGAATCCATCCAGGTCCGATCTGATTGTCCACCACATTATCCCTCCCTCTTCTGCTCCACACTTTCAGAGGCTGTAACGGGCTCCGATTTAAAACTGGAGTGAAGATACTGATATCATATGAAACTAGATGTCACAACGTTGAATGTTATTTGAATATTTTTTTTTTTTTTTTTTTTAATTTCCCTTTTTTTAAAATTAAATTTTTTTTTATATTTTTTTTTTTTTTTTTTTTTTTTTTTTAAATTTTTTTTTTTATTTTTTATGTTAAAGTTTTTTTTTAGAGATTGGTCCATAATGAGAGCTGACACAGACAAAAACCCCAGTTTGCACCACAAACCCAATTGTCCACAGCTGGTTGTGCGTCACATTCTGTCCTTTGACTTCATTAAATACCTGCAGCAGCAGACAGCAGAAGAAACCAAACAGTGTGTGCAGCTTTAAAGCGAGAGATGTGCACATTTACGCCTGTTGCACGGCAGCAGTAGCTGAGAGATCCTGTGCGCCCCCCTGGTGCAGTTTGCAACAGTTTGGGGAAGGACTCGGCCTCCTGTGCACAAAGCGAGGTCCACAAAGACGTGGAAGAATCGGCCTTCACAAAGCGCTGAACTCAACCCAACTGAACACCTTCAGGAACAATTAAAGATTCTTTATTGTCCTTTTTAGGATATTTGTTGCCACAGTCTGCACGTATACACGTATACACAGAACATTACCACAAGATAGACATCTAAACACAACACAGGTATTTACACAGAACGGCTACCGGGGATTTTTGTTGAGTAATGCTGTGACAGAAGGGACAAAACGTCTGCCACAGCGAGCTCATTTACAGGCCAGTGATCTGTATAACGTGTGCTCTGCGTGTGATGGCGTTGCTGTTGAGGTCGGAGTGGTTGGGGACGAGGGAGACTAATAATTTTGGAGGCACTGTTTGTGATGCGTGTTTGTTCCTATTGGAGGCAGTTAACACGTTAAAGAAACAGGGGGAACAGTCTGTGGTGAGTTGTTCAAAGCTCAGTTTATTTGGTATTTGAAGCACTCCACCAGCGTCATTGTTGATGCAGGTGGGATTGTGGTTGGAGATGGGGGCTGTGCTGTGGTTGCTGGAGGTATTAATCAATCACTTTTATTAATTTTAAATTATAGTGTGTCCTGTATATGTCTGTATGAATTCTACTGAATGAGTCTGAGCAGTGGAGTGCACAGACTTTTTGAAGAGCAGGGACGGAAAGAAAAAAAAGGGCACATATAGCGCGTCCTCACCACTGTAGAGGGCTTGAGGGCAGTTTAGCACCGTTTTGGCTCCCAAGAGGGCA